CAAGTAAGTTACACAGCCCTGATAACATTAACATTGCTATTATCAAAATATGATTTCAAAAGTAACAGTAAATGTCAAATCTGCAATTTGCAATAAGGCCTTGTTATTTTGCGAAGGGTGAAAAGCTCTATCCCAGATAATACTGCAGTAAATTTTAGTAGAAATGTTTACTCAGTTTAGTTTCCATGCATAACCATAAACTGGAACTATCCCAGTGCCAGTAAACGTCGTGCTCAATAAAACACCTTTTTTACTTCCCTGTGTTTTGCTTGAATATCCTATTTCCACTACTGTGGAGGGAAGCACATATGCATAAAAAAATCCCTACAAAGACGCATTTGGAACTTGAGGGGGGCAAATTAAGCTATGAGTCCCCTTGGGTGAGCAGAGAATCTCTCTCTGCAACTCTGCCAACTGATTCTTCACCATATTGATTTCCCCTTTAGAAGATCAGCTGCAGGCATAAATCTTTTATCTAGTAGATAACATCAGTATTGAGTACTTCTCAACTAGAAATCACACAATTATTCAGTTCAATGTGGATACCTGTCTTCTGCTGCACCAGTGCTACAAGCTGTTCTTAAAACCATCCTAACAATCCTAACTGTGCCTCATCCCACAGGCTTGGTGTGATGAAATACGCCCAATACAAGGGACATTATGCAAGAGCAGCCAGAAACAGGGGAAAACCAGAGTGAAAGTGATGTGCTTTAAGGGTCCTCATCCAATGCTGATTCTCAAGCACTGCATTAGTCCTAAAGTACAGAATCCAATGCAACTATGTGAGAAGCAGCACTGCATGAAGCAGCAGGACCAAGGGAACACGAGCACAACTTACAGTACCCAGGTCTGCATATGTCCCAGGTGCTGGGAGTAAGGGAGCCACTATCAACAGCTATCTGAACCCAGTCTTCTTGTCTGCAAAACATGTCTTTTCCAAATAAAACAGAATGAATCATTTCATTTTTCCCAGAATGAACAGAAAGTTTCCTTTTGAATTTGTTTTACCAGTTCAGTTTCAGAACTCACAGACATTTAATTTCAGATTTTTCTTTTCCACCAAAGTCACCTTTTCAGTAACAATCTTGTTTTTTCATATGAAATACCTTAAAATGAAGCTTCTTTACGTGGAATTAGACTTATTGGGAATCAGTTACTCCAAAACTGAGGAATTCAGCCAGGAAGAAGTTGACTGCAAAGCACCACACACAAGGCTGCACCTTTCAGGAACTGGTGGTATTACCCCTACAGTTCTATGCATTTCTCTGCCTCAGGAAAAAAGGTCTAAGCAAGAGATTTTAAACTCCAAATTTTAAGAAACTACCCACAAGGAATGTCATTCAAATTAATATAATTACTGATTAGCAGCACTTTTAGACTTGAATATGATTTGCTCTACCTTAATAAGAGGTTTGGACTGGATCATTTCTCAAAGTTCCTTCTAGCCCCATACTCCAAGATTGTAAAACTTGTTCCTGGGGGCCATCCATGGGCAATAAAAACCAAAAACAGACCACCATCACCATCCAAATCCTTACTTTTGTCAATATAGCATCTACTAAAGATTACTGGCCCCTCTGACAGCTCAGCTAGGGAATAGGAAGCTCCAGGGCAGGCTCACAACATTCTGCTCAGTGGCAGAATCATACAAAACAATATCCCAAAGCTGTTAGTCAAACTATTTTGTAACTACGGAGAGAAACTCATCACCTGGATTACAGCTCATGTTTCTGCTTACCTTAGATAGTGAGATAGGGTCGCTTTCAAGGAACTGCTTGCTTAAAGAAGGGTCTGTGCTTCCCGAAGAAGCCTTCCGCTCCAAAATATGAACACTCTTTAAAAAATAAAAAAGTAATTAAAGATAACTATTTATCACTCAGTTACTTTTTAAAATACATATTAATTAATGCATGACAGATCATTACACTCCTTATATAAAATATCAGCATCATGGCTCCAAACGTACCAAGTACTATCCATGCATAATATAAATGCACAAGTATTTGTCTTATGAGGCAATACACCTCTCTCTCTCTTTTTTTTTCTTATTATTGGTTTTTAAACTAATTACCCTGTTCAGCCTAGAAATGACTGAGAACTAAAAAAGCCAGGAAAGACAAGTAATGTAGTTCTTACCCACAGAAATGCAAAGTGCTCCTAGCCAGTCCTATTACGTTTTCTGCTAAGATACAAGATGCTGACTATACATATGCAGTCGGCACTGTCCTACATTCACTTCTGAAGCAAACCATTGCACACAAGATATTACTGCTTCTGTATTTGTTATCACACCTCGGCATTTTGTTATTGGTTTCTCAACTGAGGTGAAGTGACTTATTAGATGAATGCTTCTAACAGATTACAGGCGTTCACAAGATCAGTTACAGGGTCTCAGCTGATAAGCTTGCTAATGAACATTTATAGAACACTGTCTTAAACCAGTACAGCTGTTTTACCTATGACAATACTATAAAATTTTGTATCTTCAAAGCATGGTACAAAAATGAAATACATAATGTCACAACTAATCTTGAAAAAACAGTTATTTTTAAAAGATATCTAAAAATGTCTTCCCATTTTCCAGAAATTTTTCACTCTTATTTTGTAAAAGAAAAAGCATCTTTTCTACAGGAGAAAACAACCACATTCTGCCTGCTTGGATTTGCATTTTGTTCTCTGGTGAAATTTTGCTACATCTCATATTATTATTTGGTAAGAATTCTACCACAACATGTCAGTAGTGTCTCTTTGGCATGAAATAAAACCATTTCATTTCCAGGACATGTAACATAATGACAACCTTGCAATCACAATTACCCTCTGAGAAGGGCAAGTTTTCCTCAAGCGAAAACAACAGATAAATTTTGTTCACAATTAAGCTTCTTTACACTCACTGAAGAAGAGATTACACAGGTACATGTGACAGCAGAAACAATCAGGGAATATAAAAATATATACAAACAGCAGACTAAATATTATTGTTCAAACAGATAACTAAGTACATAAGGACCATAACCAAACTAAATGAAAACAAGGACAGCTGTTCATACAAATGTATGTATCACACAGACCACATCTTGCTGCAGAGCAACACACAGACCTTCATTGTTCTCTTTCAATTTGCAACTATGAATGAGAATAAGAAAATATAGGGATTTCTCTATCGTATTGGAGATTAATAAGCATCCCTGTGACTATGCACCAATGATCAGCATTTATTTTCAGTAACTTTTAATTTAATTTTACAGTGAAGAATGTGGAAAGGCAGCAGTATTATGTTAGCTGCCACATTCCCCAGGGCCAACCAGCAAAAGCTTTGTCATCTATGCTTTGAAATCTTCTGCTTTATCAAAGAAAGGTCAATCGTATTACTTAGCCCAATGTCTATCACTAGCCAGACGAGAAAAACATTTGTGTTTATGTAGCACAAGTTCCTACATTACATGCGAACTGATTTAATACGCTTTTTGAGCTGAGCACCACAAAGTTACTAATGATAAACTATGATAAAATTTTCTCATTGAATAGATTAAATGCTACTTATGCACACAGTAACACATTTAAACAATATAAAAGAAAGCCTAAATCTGCTCCTCCAAGGAAGATTAAAATGTCACTTGATTAGCATAATCAGGATGATTCCCAACTTTCTTGCCAGTTTTGTTTGGCAGGCAGGAATCCCTCCATCTTGAGATGGAGCAATGCCCAACACAGATGTTCTGAAGGTCTCACATGTAGCAGCCAGTGCAGTTTGTTGTTACATAACTGCAATTTCACTTTGTACAATATTTACAGTGGAGTAACCCAACAGCCCTTGGCATGCCAGATTTCCAATGACATTTTCAATCACATGATTTTAAGCAAAGGGGTTTTGTGGTTGTTCTTTTTTCCTTTTAATCAGCCCTCAGTCATTACAGTTCCAATTCTGCTGAGAAATACATTACCAGCTAACAGCCTTTTAATGAATGCTGACTTACTCAACTATTTGTTTGGAAATAAGAAAATGAACACTTAAAATAAAATTGTCTTCCTCATATTTCTTTCTTCAAATGTTGTCTTCTTGTCTGTAAATGTCTGATTTCCATTTCTTTTCTGTCATGACCACTATTACACTGACACAGAATCATGTTTTTAAATTTGTGACATGTCTCTAGCATATTAAGAGACATTACTTGGTGAAAAATGTTTTCCATTAATGCATGTTATTTTTCTGCAAAATTAAAGCTAGAAATTACACAATTATTTGACATTTTGAAAAGCAGCTATTTTTATAATGCAGAAGTTTAGTTATTTAGCATCACAGAAATGAAAATTATTTAGATCTTGAAGTTATCAAGTTTTTTTGTTTTAAGAAGAAAAATAGAGTTGGTAAAGGAAGCAGTTAAAAAAAGCTGATGAGAAGAAAAGGAAGAAAGAGGCAAATCAATACAGCTTCTAAGTTTTCTTTATATGAACAGAAAAATTATGAATCCATTAATCTAGGCATATCAATCAGCCTGGTACTCTTACTCCTCTCATTCCAAGAATACAGGCAGACAAAATCAGCCTCTGCGTTATTCTGTTCCAGACTTCCCTCATGCTTCAGGATTACCTGTGCACTATATCTGGCTTGTCCTGGAGAAAAACACCAGCACTATCAAATTCTGTGTGCTCTTGGAAATTGATTCAGCGAAATTACAAGTTTAATTGAAACTGCTCTGTAATCCCGTTGCTAAACCTTAGTTCTAACTACGATCCTTCCTTCAGCTTTGAGATTATTCACGACATACACTATATATGTGAACACAGATTTGCCCCAAAATGGCTCTAACAAGCCTACAGGTGGGGAACACAAATGTCAACTCTGCCCTGCATTTTTTTCATGTTGCTTCCCAAAGACACGTGAGAAAGAAGGAAGCTGACTGAGAGAATAACAATATGATGTTGTTTCACAGTCTCATCTTCTCTGGAGAGCAAGAATAGAAAATGTATTTTATAATATCTTTCTACATATCTTGCCAATTTTGTTTCTCAATTAAGAGTTCGGTCACCCGTTCACTTCATCCACCATAACAAATGCTAGCATATGGAACACCTGGTCTCCATCAGGCCAGAGGCTGAAGACCCTAACGTTTCTTAACTTAATCTGACTTCCTACTAAAAGAAAAGACATGCATCAGTTCTCAAAGGAAAGGCAAAGAAAGAAAAGAGATATTGGGTAAGTAGAGACAGGAAATCCAGTGAAGGACAAGTCACAGAATCATCGAATTGTTTGGGTTGGAAGGGCCCTTAAAGATCATCTAGTTCCAACCCCCCTGCCATGGGCAGGGACACCTTCCACTACACTAGGTTGCTCAAAGCCCCATCCAACCTGGCCTTGAACACTTCCAGGGAGGGGGCAGCCACAGCTTCTCTTGGCAATCTGTTCCAGTGTCTCATCGCCCTCACAGTAAAGAATTTCTTCCTAGTAGCTACTCTCTTTCACTTTGAAACGGTTACACCTCGTTCTACTGCTACACTCCCTGATAAAAAGTCCCTCCCTTGCCCAGAGTCTGGCACCCATGTCTCCCTGTCTGCTTTGCTGCTTAATTACTTAATGGAATTTAATTATATTTAATGCAATGAGTTCTCTCTAATTTATAATTTATTCATTTTCAAGAAAAAGACAAGCTGGTGAGGAATTTATCACTCATATTGGACTCAGACTCTCTTTAGTTCAGAAACGTGCACAACATGTGGCTAACAGTTAATTGATGAAAAAGAACTGGTGGGTCATTTTGCGTGCTCAAGGCATTCAGCAGTCTTCAACACCTATAACTATGGGGCCCAGGTTTTTGCTCTGGGTTGTTTGTGTTGGGGTTTTTTCAATGTGAAGAACTAACTAGTGCATCTTTTATTATCTGCTATTCATTGGCATTCTTTTCGCAACCTAGCTACCCCTGCACAGACCTTATTGAATCAGTTCAGTATGAGGTGCAATGCTTAACCCCTTTCTCAAAACTAAAAACATAGTATTCCCCCTTATCCGAAATACAGCAGCAGTAATAAGGTAGCTATAGATTTGACTGCAGACATAAGAGTTTTTACTGCCTTTTAAATAGAGCTGTGATATATGCGGAGTTAATCTGCAATATTATTTGCAAATAGAATAACCTTGAAATTTGCATTCATCTTAGGCTGCTTCTTGGTAGGCTCTGGCTTTCCTTCTGCTGATGTTGGAAGAAAGACAGAGTCTTGAATATCACTGTGAGAGAAGGGTGAGTACAAAACAAAACAGCCATGTCTCCACCAGTGTATTTTTCCTTTCTTTCTTCTAGCACATTTTTTTGTTTGTTTGTATAAAGCAACCATGGTCCTAATCTCATCCTCAGTCACTGACACTGCTCCACAGCTGTTTTCAACAGTTTGGCCTATCAACCAACAGACAAAGGAACTTAACAATACTTTATTGTATCGGGTCTGCGTGGCAAGGTTTTGGTAGCAGG